TCCACGACCTTCTCGTCAGTCCTCAGGGTGCGTGCGTTGTATGTTGCCAGGTCGAGTCGTCTTAGGTAGCAACCGAATCTCCACCGGAGATTCTTAGCACCCCCTGCCCCGCCGTTACTATGGTCGCCACCGTAGCCAGGAATAGCGGGGCCGCCGGGGACTGGGGGCCGTTTCTTTGTTACTCTCATCATAGGGGGGTATTTGCCATAGTTGCCACGCCTGGCGGGCGGGTTAGCAACCGCAGTTTTTTTTATTGTTTGTTGTTATCAGGAAGATGCTGCTGCCCATCTCCTGTTTGTTTCCCTTTGTCGCCTTTTACGACACCCACGTGAAGATATGAGATATTGGATATTCTTAACCGCCACTACACGGTAGAGCCATGCTGCAGCTATATTAGTAGTATAGTTGTAGCACGAACGGGTCGGCTCGACCGGGGAAGGACCACGCTCTCAGAATACCAGCTTAAAATGGCAGCTTGACACTGCTGTGTTTCGTATGGCGAGTGTGGAGAACCGGAGGCCCATTTTACTGGAAAAGAGGCATTCCATCTTAGTCCTCACGGGTAACGACGCATCTGCATTTTGATTCATTCTTGAGGATAAATGTAGATGTATATGGGTCACAGCAACCACTTACCATCAGGTGATCTGTGTGCTCGTTTGTTACCCTTGTTTTATAAAAAAAAATATGTTTCTAAAAAGCAAATTTATTTAAAAATAGAACTCCATAAGCCAATTGCTCAATATTTAAAAAAAAACAAAGTTCTATTAATTTTCCTGAAACGCTTCCCGCGCTTTTCATTTAAAACGATGGATCTTAACCGTGAACATTTGCGCGCTATGATATATTATGATTTTTAATTTGGTTTAACCGAACAGTTAAGTTTACATCTGTTACAATCAGCATTACGGGACTCAGCTCCATGACGCGCAACACTTTTTAGGTGGTTTGCTGAATTCAAAAGGGGTAAAATTAATCTTAAAGATGACCAAAGAACAAACAGCAAACAGCAGTAACAGCAGAAAGTGTATGGATTACTGAAATGTTGGTGCGAGAAGATCCACGAATCACATATACGGACATCGAAAAGATTGTAGGATTGTTCGGGGAGCATTCATACTATCTTCCATCAACATCTTGGAGTGAGAAAGCTTTGTTGTCGATGGATCCCTCGTTTGCTCTCTGAAAGCATAAAACAGACTCGTGCCATGAAATGCATCTACGTTTTGAAAACGGGCCATCTAGGCGTTTCGGAAATCGTTAGTGGTGACGAGACGTGGATCTATCAATATGATCCGAAAAGTAAAAGACAATCATCGGTATGGGTCTACTCAGAAGGACAGTATTCGACAAAACTGCAAAGACCTCGCAACGTCGGCAAAAAAATGGTGGCTGGGTTTTTTTCGTGGAGCGGAAATTTGTCGACGTCAATGCTGTAAAATTGTAGGTCAGTCAACTCTGGATGGTATACTACAGTTGCATTAGGTACCCAAAGCTTTTCAAGCTGTGCGCGAGAGAAGACCAAAGACCGGGCTTCGGGGAATCATGCTGCATCACGATAACGCCTCTTTACATACCTCCTTTAGAACAAAAGCATTTAGTGTTGAAACTCTAAGTCACCCACCCTACAGCCCTGAATTAGCTCCTTATGATTTTTTTTTGTTCCCAAGAGCCAAAGAAAAAATGAAAGGCAAGTTTGTTTCAAGCGCCGAAGAAGCCGTGGCTGCCTACGAAGAAGCGGTTTCCAACCTGTCAGATCAAGACTGGCAAAAGTGTTTTCAGAGTTGGTTTAGGCGAATGGAACTTTGTATAGAGCATGATGGAGAATATTTTGGAAAGATGTAAAATAAATATTAATAAGTAGTGTCTAGAATACTTTTTGTATATCTTAAAATTTATTGAGTGTCCTACGTATTAAGAAGTTGAGGACAGACAGATAATTTAATTAAAAGTTAAAAAAGCTAAGCTCTACAGCCACGTCTCCACCAAAGTTTTGTTGCCAACACAACAGTTTCCATCAAAACTTGTTTCCATTTTCGGCGGCATCATCAAAGGAATACGCTTGTTGCCAACATTTGTTCCCTCGGTGGAGACGCTTGTTGGAAACAGTTGGAAACATAACTGTTGTCAACATTTTTGGTGGATACGCGACTTTACACTCGATCAAGTCACCTCTCAAACAAAGAAAACTAAATCAAAATCGATTCATCCGTTTGGCCACTACGATGCTACTTGATTGCGCGAAAAACACCTCCTTTTGCGATTCTACGGGCAACTCGACATCTTAACACCTTTCGAATTTCCCAGTCCTTATAGAATTGTATTGCGCTGTGCACGAATAAATGTTGAAGAAGTGAGGTAACAAATCCGGCGCGGCGCAGAAGTGTACTGATTTGGTGCAAGCAATTGCGCGGCGCAGCGCAGTGTTACACGTTTAGTTTGCGTCGGGGGTTATAGTTTAAGAGCCAGTGAGCGGCAGACTTAAGGTATTTCAATAAGCGTTTTTTTTCAGTTAATCCCCTATACCTGAGGTACATGAAATAGTTTTAGTTTGACCGGTGATTGATATAGACCTTCAGGTGTGAAAGGTGTAAAAAAATGACCGAAAAAAAAAACGTTTAAGTAATAAGCCAGTCGCTTTGACATGTTGAAATATTCAATAAAAGTTACTGAAAAATAACATTGGCAGACACCTATGGCAGTTCCAAGGTCATGGCAGATAGATTGGTTGACAAGTTCAAGTTTTTTTTAATAATTTACGTTATTTCAACAAAGCTGCAATTTATATAATTTGTTGATAATATTATTTGACATATTTATTTTGCATGGCAGACATATGTATATTCAGGTTCTATCACCCCGGCAGACAACGAACTTCAGTGGTGTACATAAGCGCGTACTATAGCACTCGCTCTAATCCAGTCTTTGGATTAAATTAAAATTTCTATTACATCAATAATTAAAATACATGTTTTCAACTAGTCTTTAGTATTAATCATCATCATCATCATTACAGCCGTTCACAAGTCCTCTGCTGAACATAGGCTCCCCAAGCAATTCCACAAAGCACGGTCCTGAGCCACATGCATTCATCGACTTCCTGCATATACGGGAGCTTATTGAAATACCGAAGTCTCCCGCTCACTGGCTCTTAGAACATTATGCGTTTTGCTACTCTCTCTTAGTTTCTTTTATATTCCATTGCGGGAGGAATGTTGATTTGTTTATCTTATTTATGTTACGGATCAAGTGATTAATAGGGCATTATTGATAATGTACAGGCAGTTTGAAAAATACTCGATATGAGTAGGCAACTTGATAAAAAATAGGTACTGAAATAATTAAATTGACCGGGTTAAATTATCTGTTACTTATTGGGCAGAGCACAAACTAATTAGAAGTGCTAACGCAGAGCAGAGTAATAAAAATATAGATTAGGATGGCCAAACAATGTGATAAATAATGAAGTTTAAATCAGTACTAATACATAGCCAGATTTCACTTGTCATTCATATTGCCCGGGCATTATAAACAGTGCCCTGAATAATCACTTGATCAATGAACAATCAAAACTTGATTAATCAATCGAATTTTGGTTTGTTGTCGTGTACGTGCCTGCGAAAATTTTGACCTAAAACAAGTGAATAGTTGTTTGTTCATTTTCTATGCCATCCTATAGCATTTATCCGAAAACATTAAAATTTTATTGAGTTGTGCGCGCGCGCTATCTTGAGGTCCCGGTTTCAAATCCCAGGTCGTGCACACACGCACCCAATCCTGTGCTGCGTAGATGTCTAGTCTTCTTTAAGACTGACTCCCAGACCTAAGTCTGCAGAACCATATTATTATTATTTTAAAAAAATTATAAAATAATGCGTAAATGAGTGTGATATAATTTACTTATAAAGCTATAGTTAGTTATTATAATTAACAAACCATTAAGCCAGATAGTTCTTACTTAAATGTTATATCATATAGATATAGGCGTCGGCACGAAAGTCTAGCGGTGACCGTTATTGCTCATAAGTCGCGCTGATTGACTCGTGTGTTTCATTCACATGCACTGATTGGCTCTCCAGTCGCATTCGTGCAATTAAATTCGTGCACGTCCTCTCCACGTTCCGTTCAGCGCTAGACTTACGTGCCGCGACTTGTAACATTATTTAATATGTGATATAGAAGACATATCACTGTCGAGAAGTTGGAAGAATAATGATAGAAATAACAACTCTCTTAATCGTTATTTTTTAATCACACTAGGACTAAAAAATTGCATACCCGTGGGTTAGGTTTACTTAATTTTTTTAATGAATTTAAGGAAAAAAAACATTTGTCTTATATTTATAAAAACAGTAATGAAACCTTTGTTGCATAACAATTGTGTGAAAACTCACTTGAATATGTTTATATTATAATCAGACAATTTTTTTTAACTTAATTTTTGAATCAAGTGATTGAAGTAAAACTTATTAAATTACCTATTTACATTGATTTATTAATAAATTTATACTTAAAAAACACCATCATTACAGTCCATCATAAATCCACTGCTAAACATAGGCCCCTCACAAGAAATACCATAAAGCTTGGCCCTGAGTCACCTGCATCTGACTTCACCAGGTCATCACTCCATCTAGTGGGAGGCAACCTTATACTTCCCACTTCCGTTACTTATTATTTAAAAAAAACGATAAAAATAAATTTATGTGTAATGTACAATATCTGAAAATTGTACATAATATACATACTGTCATATACTCACAAAATACCTGTCAAATGGACTAAATGTTTTATTGAATGTTACTTACATACAAAAAAAGATCTGGGATTACCCTTAAGTCGTGCCTAAAGTTTTACTTCAAAAATCCTAAAACTTAAATTCCTAAAATATTAATTATGTTAAATAATATGTAATGTAATAAATTAAGCTTTCTTATGTAGGCTTGCATAATCTCTTAGGCAAAAATGTTTTTGGTGGTTATTTTTTCTACAGAACTTATTTATCCACGTTCACATATTATGTCAACAATGCTAGGTTCCATTAACTGTGGGTCAACACACCTTAACTGGGCAGACGCAAGAGCATCTTCTAATAATGCATTTAAAAGTCTCTCATCGTTCCCCATGCAAGACAATCTCTGTTGTAGGAAGTGTACATCAACTTGCAGCTGTTGCAAGCCATGTTTGCCAAATGTACGTAGCCTGACACACTCTACAAGAGCTTTAAGCGCTACTTTTAAGGCCCCATTAGACAAAGCTCCCCTATCTGCACCTGCTGGACTGAAAACTTCAATTCGCTCTGAAAATATCCTGTTAATGGGGGAAAATGATGATGGTGCTCGTGACCAAATTGTGCGTCTACTAGAATCACTTGACGGCTTCACACTTGTTGGAAAGAGCTGAGAAGCAGCACTATCAGCACTTGCTAGTGTTTCTACTACTCTCCTGCACACTGCTCGAGGACCCCTTGGCTCGGGTGCACGTAACCAATCCCGTGCCAAAACTGATACTCTCAGCATCTGTGCAGCGGTTTGACCAATGTAGACAACTTCAGAATCTAGAGCCGATTGGGCTGCAGTAGATAAATGTACCATTACACTATTTGTATCTTTATTGTCTACAGTTAAACCAGGTGCAGCTTCTTCTAGAAGTTTTATGAGGTGATTGTGTAATGTTGTCACTCCATTTTCCTGCAGTTCCAAACATAGCTTTGCCAAGATTAGAAGCAATTCAAAGGGGATATTGTTGGAAGTCTTCAAACAGGCCATTTTCTTTACCATGTCTGAGAGGCTGATCAATGTTTCAGATATAACTGTCCAACAACTGTCAGCAACAGCTTTTGCACACCATGGTTTTAGTCCAAAAGACAAGTTGTTCTGCAGAAATGCCTTTAGATCTAATAAAGAAGCTTGAATCTTTTGCAATAAATAAACTTGCAAAGAGTTTAAAATGTCTCTCAAATCAACAGATTCTGTGCCTTTGCTTGCTAAAGTTTGTCTTACCCTCATGAGGCTGTCTTTAAATTGGCTTTGAATAGATTGATATTGTAATGAAGCCTTGTGTCTGACACATTGAATAACTACATCAAGAGCTTTTTGTGAGACTGTATCACTAGAGATTATTTCAGACATGGCCTGTAGCTTTCTAAAGAATTTATCCAAACCTCTTATCAGTATTTCTGTGCCATTATTTTCTGGCCTTTTCACTACCTCTTCAAAAAGTTGAAATACCTGGGACATCACTTTCTCCCCAAACTCTGGCAAATTTGTATTATCCTTATCCTGGAAAATTTCATGATAGCATGAAATAACTATGCCTAAATCAGCTAATAATGTGTTATTACATTTCTCAACCCATTCTAGAATGTCTGTGCGCTCCACCAAAATACTTAAGCCTTTAAGGTGTTGATCCAGTCTACTTTCAGCACAACTTAAGAAAATATCTTGTAATGATGTGTCAGTTTCTTGTAATTGTCTTAAAAGCCCAACACTTTCAGCAAGTTCGGATGCTGATGTGTCAGGGTCTGTTAGTCTGTCCCTCAATGTTTTCTTTAAACCAAAAATAATTTCGGAGCATTCTGATTGAATGCTCTGGAACGATGGCTGGTTGCCATACTTTTGTAAGACTCGCTGAGCATGTGCATAATCATGAACTGCATCAGCGTATCTGTTTTCTGATATTGCTTTATTCAGCTGTGATGGCAACAAAAATAGAAATTGAAGTTTATCAAGCAACTGTCTAGTGGAACACAAACGATTGACGTTAGTTCCACTCTCTTTGAGCGAGTCTGATATCTGGGAACTAAAAGAAGTTATTTTATTTATATTTTCACTTAGCTTGTTCATTTCTTCCTGCATTATCTGAAAATCAGATCTCATTTTTCGCACGGTTTCCGTTGCCGAAATAAATTTATTATAGTTCTCGTAAACTAAGGTCTGCATTTCAGATTGTAAAAACTGACTTTGTTTTACTATCTCCGCTTCTTTATCCATAACTTGCTTTAGTGTAGCAAGCTTCATCAAACATTCTAAGTACATTTCCGAATTGAAGTTGTTACTATCTATATCCAAGGGATTTTCACCGTTTTCCTTATTAGACTCCGACATTTTGTTAAAGAGTATAGAATTTCAGTATAAAAATATGTTTATTTATGTACAAACATCAATATAATTTTTTTACAATACAAAATCTTTCTGACATTTTATTTACCACTGGTTTACCACAGACCTTATATATTACTAGACGTGGGCGTTATTTCACGTCACTAGATACAATAACTGGCTACGCGGCATGTAACCGAATCACTAGTTTCGACCCTTATTACAAGTAGTGATTTTTGTAAATGCGTTATTACTATTTACTGTTAACTGTGATTCTTACGACCGTCGGTAATGGTCGGTAGGTCGAGCGCAAAGCGCACATGTGGCATACAACAATAAACAAAACAGCGTATGTAACAGTATTATTGTACGTTTAATTTTCATACGTAAGACTACAGTAAATAGATAATAAAATAGAGTGATCTCTGTTTGTAAATAATTTCAACGGTTTACGATTCTGGGAAGCTCAAACCATTGAAATTAAATTGAATTTAAGTAAAATAATTTAGTTTGTATTAGTTCATCGTTGTACTTGTACTCTCTTGTAAAAATTAACATTTAAATGTTATTTTGGTGTTTTATGTACATTTACTGTAACGTTTCCTTGTTATATATAATATAAATATAATTAGCGTGGATTGTACAATTCTAAATAAAGTGTAAATAAAAAACTTGTAAATAATTATGCCTCGAATGAACTCTAGTGCTTTGTGGGAGTTTTTTCAAAAACTGGATAATGAAAAAAAAGCGAAATGCAACAGTTGTGGTGAAGTTTATAGCTTCAAAACTTCAACTGCGAATTTGAAAACACATTTGAAGCGAAAACACCTCCATGCGTATACATGCATTTGTACTGTGCAATCAACGGCAAGGACCCCAGAATAAAGTCGTGGGCAGGAACCCCCAGGCGATTTCCAACCTCAGCCCTCGTTGTCCAGCTCCAATGTTGCGTCAGCTTCTACGTCTACTGCTGCAAATACCATACCCATATACCGGCCTGCGCAACAGCGCATTGATAGCTACGGAATTAGAAAAAAAGTAACAATAACCAAAAAAGACAAATTGATAATGACCTTGCCAATTTATTTATAGACAGCTATCACCCTTTCTCTTTAGTAGAAGAACGTGCCTTTAAAAAATTTGCGCGACATATACCTGGGTACGAGTTACCATCGCGAAAAACTGTCTCTAACATTATAATTCCCACATTATACGACCAAACAGTTCTACGAAAAAAAGAAGAAATAAACGATATTGAATTTCTATCTCTAACAACAGATTTATGGACGTCTCGGGTCAATGATGCTTACATTGCTGTTACGGGGCACTATATAACAAAAGATCTTGTTCTTAAAACATTTTTATTAAAATGTGCCGAGTTTAAAGATACGCACAGCAGTGCGAATATTCAAGCTGCATTGCTAGAAACTACCAACGAGTGGAATGTAACAAATAAAATAAATTTTATTGTTAGTGACAACGCAGCTAACGTCAAAAAAGCCATAGCTGATATAGGGTGGAAGCATTATGGATGCTATGGCCATACGTTGAACTTAATAGTGGAAGATGCCCTAAATTTAGTCAAAGCTTCTTTGGATAAAGTTAAAACGATCGTTCGACATTTTAAGACAAGTACAGCAGCCCTAGAAAAATTATTAAAAGCGCAATTACAGGAAAAGCCTGACATAGTACCGAAGCGCTTAATACAGGAAGTACCAACTAGGTGGAACTCTACGTTTGCTATGTTACAGCGATTTGTTGAATTAGAAAATCAAATATGTGCCACTGTTGCAATTCTTAGAAAAGATTTACCAATCTTAACTGTCGAGGAATGGGCATTATTTCACGAACTGTGCAAGGTTTTAAAACCTTTCGACGAAGCTACGAAAGCTATGAGTGGTGAAGATTATATGACAGCTAGTACCATCATAGTCATGACACGCTGTCTTAGAGAATCGTGTAACCAACTGCTTCTGGAAGACTTTAATGTTACAACAAATAGTGTAATTACAGCACTTCGGACAGGCTTAGATAAAAGATTAGAAGGTGTTGAGAGAAGTGGCACGTTCTCGATATGTACAATTTTAGACCCAAGGTACAAAATTAATGTGTTCTCTGACACAAATGAGGCAGCAAAAGCAAAGAAAATGCTGGAAGAGATACTTGCAAGTGATATTAGACGGCGACGACATGGAGAGAACCAACAATCCACTTCAACCCCAGCTTCCATACCGGTACGAGATAAATTTTCACCATGGTCCATTTTAAACAATATTGTCGGGTCGCAGCAGCAGCAAGTAGGCACACCTTTATCGTGTGCCATCAAGGAAGTAGACACTTACTTAAAAGATAATATTCTACCTATGTTTAACGACAGTGGGAAATTTAACTGTCCCTTGCAATGGTGGCAACATAACCACCACATTTATCCTAACCTTGCCATACTTGTACGCAAGTATGGCAACATAATGGCAACTTCAGTTCCGTGCGAGAGGATATTCAGCAAGACTGGGCTTACGATTAATAACCGCCGCACACAATTGAAGACACACAAAGTTGCCCAATTGATGTATTTAAATGTTAACTTAGATCCAAAAAGATTTTTGACGGAGTCATGAACTCGTTTATTCATAAAATTAAAATTAAACTAAAAAATGTGTATAAAAATTTAAATGTGTATATTATTATAAAACTTTGTGTAAATATAATATAATAAAAATAAAATATGATTAACTGTGTAAATAGCCAAACAAACAAACAAAATAATTGTACAGTGTAAATAAAAGTGCAAAAACAAATGACAGTGAAAACGTTGAAAAAGTGTAAAAAAAACTGTAAATAATCAATAATCATTGTATATACAATCAAATTGACTCGTAAATACGCCTGCATTAATAATTTTATGAAAATCTTAGTTTCATAGTAAATACAAATCAATCATAAATATATTTAATGCAGTCAGTCCTAAGCTTGAATAAAGTATGAAGGGAAGTTAATTTATTGATTTCATTGTATAGCTACAAACTCTTAGATATTGATTAAATTTATTATCGTTTCTTGTGTAACTGTATACTTGGTGGTGGTATTTATGAACAATCAATCACAGTAGCCGAATAAAAATAGCCAGTTACAAAAATCACTAGTTTTAAAACAGGTGACGCCGACCAAGTCACTGGTTTCGTTACGTTTCATGAAAATGACGTAACGACCCACGTCTATATATTACTATACTCTTTGACCACAGACTAACAATAACAAGAGTAAGAATTAGGCATGGACTGATATATCAAAACGTAACTACTAACTAATAACGTTATGTTATCAAATATGATATCATATCAATAAACCTAGTTACATCACCGTTATCACATATCCAACCAAAACCAACTAACCAACGTACGAAACGTAAAACGCAAACTGTAACGATATGCCAATACGGCCCAAAACTAACCGATGTCCTTTGATATTCGTTGTTTCTCGTTCTAGCGACGGTATCATAAATACGTATGAAAGAGATGAAGCGAATATGGACTTCGTTGTGATCTTTATTCTAATAAGGTCGAATTTTAAATGGTTAAAATTGCCTAATTTTTAAGTTTTTGTAGTTGTGAGAGTTGTCAGATTTAAATAATCTTTAGGACATTAGACACAAGACTTAGATTTGTTTGATCACCTCAATCAACTTCAACTTTTCTGTTAGTCCTAAGCCTAGTTAAGTATATGAAGGTAAACCGCCAACTTAAATAATCATTAATAAATAAACTATGTACCTAAAATAATTTTATATATATAATTATTTTTATAAAATTATTATTATCGACGAACCTTCATATAAAATCCTTAAATTCGTAATAAAAAAAATATTGAGTGTCACTTATCACTATGATCCTACGTCTCACTTTAAAAATAATATGGGTATAAACATTATAGAAATAAATAAGGATAGAAATAATGTAATTTTAGACATTTATAATACTATATTCCTGCATAACAATCATAAATTATATATTAACATACATGTCTAAATATTACATCTAAGATTATATTAGAGCCTCTGACTACTAAACTAAAATAATCGATATAATTCGTAAAATAAATGTCGCGCTGGTCCTACAGTTTTCGGTTATGTTTCGGTTGTCGTTTGCGCATTCAGTAGCAAGCCATTACTACTGAAATCGATATTTGAAAACGGTTTTTAATAACGATATGAAAAGTAAATATTGATTATGAAACCGTTGCAGCCAAAAATTGAAACGCCCATGCTTAGTAAGAGTACATGTATGAGTAATCTGTGGAGTACATCATATTAGTATGTGACTAAGAGGATGCAGCAGTATAAAGGTACTCTGTGATTCTGATTCTGCGCATCGTTGTAGGAGTTTTGGCGGGAATTTGACCGGCGGCGGTTTGCTGCTCCTGTATTATTGTTTAAATAATGGTTTGAAGTGGACTTTGATATGTAAAAGTGGTGCGATTTTGTGTATTAAGTGTCTGCGCATGTGAACTATTAGTGGAAACTGTGAAACAAGTGCTCTGATGGTGATATGATTCTCTAAATAATGTGTCTGTCTGCTTAGGCGCCTTGATATACCATCGCCAACCGTCAGCTGTCTGCTGGCTCAAGTTGCCGTCAAAATCTCCCAAGGGCTGCACAATGTGACGCATCAACATATTGTGAAGCAGTATACTATGAAGGATATTATAATATATTGTAACTTCAGGCTCAGAAGGGCTAGATCCCAGAGCCGTAAAGCCAGTTATTAAGAAGAAGAAGTATCGTTGTACCACAGTTGCCACCACAAACCATGGACGTATAAAAAAGGCGGACTGAATCTCGCTATACAACCCAGCGAAGCACCCAAAATAAGTCAGCTCGCTTGTACGTACAAGGGGTCACGCAGGGCCCCCGTAAGGGCTACTGGCGCCTGTGCGCAAAAAAGGATTTTGGCGCCCTTTATAAGGCCGAGGAAACTAGAGATGAAAGCAATGTATAACAAAAAGTGAAA